AGTAGCAAACAAGAATGAACTATTGATATATACAACAGCATAGATGGTAAAGATAGTAATGAATATCAATTTTTTCATCTGAGATATATCAGTGTATATATCTGAGTGTATATATCTGAGATATATCAGTGTATATATCAGTATATATATCAGTATATATCTGAGATATATCAGTGTATATATCTCAATATATACATTTTATGGAGAAATAATTGACATACATCACTGTGTAAGTTTAAGGCAGACAGCACGATGGTTTGATCTACATGTATTGTGAAATGATTACCATGATAGGTTTAGCTAACATCTGTCTTCTCATATAAATACAATAAAAAGAAAAGAAAGAAAAAAATAGGAAAATATTTTTCTCCTTGTGATGAGAACACTTAGGATTTACTCTTACCAACTTTTCTATATATCACACAGCAACGTTAGCTATAGTCTTCATGTTGTACGTACATCCCTAGTATTTATTTATCTTATAACTAGAAGTTTGTAACTTTTGACCACCTTCCTCCAATTCGCCATCCCCCTACCCTCTGCCTCTGGTAACTACAAGTCAGATCTCTTTTTCTATGAGTTTGGGGATTTTGTTTGTTTGTTTTTTGGCTTTTTTTTTATTCCACATATAAGTGAGATCATACAGTATTTGTCTTTCTCTCTCTGACTTATTTCACTTAACATAAGGCCCTCAAGGTCCATCCACATTGTCACAAAGGGTAGGATTTCTTCCTTTTCATGGCTGAATAATATTCCATTGTATATGTACACCACAACTTCTTTATCCATTCACCCATCAATGGACACTAGGTTTTTTCCATGTCTTGGCTATTGTAAGTAATGCACAGCAGCATAGATAAATCTCAAAAACATTATTCTGAGTGAAAGAAGCAAGACACAAAAATGAACATCTGATTTCTTTTTGAAACTTGGTATATGCTTTGAATGTCTTTTAATCTACAGGTTACTTCTCCATCCCTCTGTTGAAGAATCTATGCCATCTTTTTATCTATGTCATTTGAACTGTAGTTTCCCATAATTTGGATTGCCTACCCATAGTGCAGTTCAACAAGACCCATATATTTCTGCAAATTGGAAGCTGGATCCAGGGGCTTGATCAGATTCAGGTTTGATGTATTTTGAATCAAAGGATGGCATGTTCTTTCATCAACAAACACGTAATATCTGGTTATTGTTCTTTTATGACATTAGCAAAATGGTAATATTCTAATTCTCTCATTTTACTGGCCTGAATAATTTTATAAAGAGAAGAGTCTCTTCATTTGCTATTCAGTTTTTCCAGTGGTACAGTTCTCAAAGGAAAGCAAGGATAAATGTTTGATTTTTTCCTTTTATTTAATCTGTTTTCAAGATGATTCAATTGCTTATCATCCAATTTTTAAAATATCTCTAGAAATGCATGGACTTAAAATATTTGATGGTTTCAACCCATTACAATTCTTATCCTTGTTGAAATTCAAATTGTCTTATCTTTGGAAGTAGAATACAGGAATGGAATGGAATGGAATTGAATAGAATAAAGTGGGAGCCTCTTTAAATTGGCTTCTGAGTCCTTTTGACATAACTCTAGTGGTCTTTAATAGTTTCCTTGATATCTGATATGTTGAAACATATGAAGAATATGTTATTTCTTTTAATAGGAAATGGCATTTCAAGACCACATTCTGAATACAGTTTTTCAGGATATCACTGGTTAGTCATTGCTTCAAGGCCTTTTCAGTGGATATAATATATCTAATATATATATTAGATAGATGATAGGTAGATAGATAGATAGATACACAGATACATCAATGATAGATAAGTAAGTAGATTGATACAAAGAAAGAATATGTTGCATGTTTATGATATTTATTCTGATATTTCCAATTAAATTCAGAAACACAGGATTTGCATTTAACCTCTTCTGGATTACATCTCTATCTCCTTTCTTCCACAATGAGAATCCTTATTCTCAACAATACAAGGGAAAATACAATTAGAACATCCCACAGTTATCCATTTGCTTTATCTCATATGACACATAACAGTCACAAAAAGGCAATGCTAATACTATCACCACCAATTATTATTACTAAAAAACAGTTTAAATTTTTTGCATATAGAATCCTATTTTCCCTACAATTTTTTATGCATATACATGCAACCTTTTCATATATCATCTGGGTTCATATCTGTCCTGAAGCTGATATATGGGTCTCAGTGTAAGAATGACTGCCATTCATTTAGCTTTCTTACAATCTCTCCTCATCAAGAAACAGATGTGATTAAGATACATTTTCCTGGTGCAGTCCCACTTGGATCTCTTTATTTATTATCATGCACCATTTATTGAATAAACCATCTTTTTCCCAGTGTCTCAGTGCTACCTCTATCATATATCAACTTTCCATATATGTGAGCATCTGTTTCTGAGCTCTGTTAGTCTAGTCTTATGCCAACCCTACATGATCTTAATTACTATAGCTTTATAATAAGTATCATATCTAATAGGGCAAGTGTCTCTGGCTACAAGAAACAAATGCAAATTGTTTCCAAATAAGTAAACTTGACAAGCAAGCCCCAAAGAAATACCATAGTTAAAGTTCCATGTTCCATATACTCACCAAAATACCTCTACACACATACAAAGCATACAACTATGAATAAGATTCAAAAAAACAGCAAAACACAGAATCAGACTTATAAAGACTGATGATATTATGATTATCAGATACCAAACATACAATAAAAATAAATGTATAAATTAATATATAATGTATAAATTAATATAGAGATATATTAATAAATTAATAATTAATAAATGTATAAATTAATATAGAGAGAGATATAGAACTGAAAAAGAGGTTCTGGATGAATCTGTAGAAATAAAAATTATAATAGTTGAAAGTAGAATCTGGATGAATGGATTTACCATTATATTAAACACAGTTAAAGAAACAGTTATTTGGAAGGTAAAGTTGAAGAAGTTACACATAGCATGAGACAGAGACAAAGCAAAGAGAAATATGAAAAAGAGATTAAGAAATATGGAAGAAAGACTTAGCAGGTCCAACATACATATAATCTGAGTTCTAAGAAGAAATGACAATTGGGGACATTCAGTGTTAAACGACATGAGTGAGTGTTTTCCAGAAGACCATCAATCTTCAGATTAAGGAAGTTCCCCAAGTGCCAAACAACAGAAGTAAAAAGAAATACATAACAGAGTGAAAAATTCAGAATAATAAAAACAAAGAGAAAGTAACAGATGCAGCCAAACAGGGAAAAGTTGGGGTGGAGTGGGTGGAGACACATCTGCAATGACTAACTGATAGGTGACTTCTCAGAAATGAGAGTGGAACTCAAAAGAATTGAAAACGAATTTTCAAAGTACTGTAAGAAAATAACTCTCAACCTAGAATTGAATATTTATTAATACAATCTATCAAAAATCAAGGCAAAAAAAGACATTTTCAGACGCAAACCTGAGGACTTACTACCAACACATTTTCACATAAGGAACTTCTAATGAAGATACTTCATGTCAAAAGGAAGATTTGCAATACATGAAAATGGAAAGGATAAATATTGACTGTGTATAATGGTAAAGTTAATGTCTAATGTATGAGGCTAAATATCAAGAGAGAATAACATATAACTTAGGGAGGGTGATGACTGGCATGACAGTATTCTAGTATTCTTATATGATTCAGAAGAAGATTATAATTATTAATATTGAGCTCTGTTAATTAGGTATGTTAAAATTTCTATGACAATCACTAAAGGAGTAGAGATAGCTATAAATGTTAGCTATTTTTATTATTATTATTGTTATTATGATTATAATTATATTCCAGTAGTATTATAGAAAGAAAGAGAAAGAGAGAGGGAGAAAGAGAGAGAAAGAATTCTGTAGTCAAATCAGTTTTGTTTAACCAAGTTAAATATATTTCCTGCTTGATTTCTGTTTTTTCTCAAGTAATGTGCTTTATAAATCCCTAGAGATTTAGAAGGTTTGCGGCGTTTCTTTTTATTATTTGACATCACTTTATCTCGTGGAATATCTATTAACATCTTGAGAAACTTGACATTCTGGGGAACACGTTTTAAGTTGAATCTGAATCCCCTTGGACTTGGATTTGCCTGTTTAAGAGGGTAATATAGCCGTATAGGCTTGAAGAGAATAACAGACTAGAATAACAAGGTCAGTTTCAGAAAGACCTTAGGTTTGGGAAAATAAGACATAAGGAAGAATTGAAAATACGATTGTCCAGTGATACCAGGAAGGGTGGGACATATTGCAGTCTGTTAAATGGAAGGAAAAAAAATAAAAGCTCTGCCTAGCAAATGGGTTGCAAAGCTTCTGCTACAAGACTGTTGGAACATCTGGGAACACTGCCAAGCAATTCTAGGGAACAGACTTGGCGCTGATTGTGGCCTTGTGTTCTGTATGAAAGAAAAAAGATTAATTTATTTTATGTCATAATACACTACCTAGAAGCCAAATTGCCAGTTAAAATTCTATTTGCAAGCAGGTGTAGGATTTCGATATAGCTTTCACCTAACATCATGGAATGCTGCTTCTCCATGATCAAACATGATGCAAGCTGTCTTTTCAACTACATTTTCAGTGTTTCAAAATGTTTAGAAAAATGGCAGGTTAGTAATGTCTGTAACTATAATTGAATCTTATGTATCTGCTCTAAATGCAGCTGTTTGGTTTATACAGTGTGGAGGAAATAAATCACCACATATAGAAAGGAGTGTTTGCTCTTATCCATCCAATTAATGTTTTCCTCTAGAAGTTAACATTTTAAACGTGTCCAAGCAAAGAGATGGGTAAAAGGTATTTGATGGTTAGTTTTTCTAATTCCATGCTATTAGGAATATAGGATGTTACCTTTTTTTAAGTCCAGAATACTTCAATTGCAATTGATGTAATGCAACCCCATTGATGCTTTTTTGTAACTCTGTGTATATACTTGTTTTCTCTGAAGACTCAAAGATACCTGCAGGCATTAATCTTCACAGTTCTCATGGTGGAAGACTACAAGGGCAAGCCAGACCTGAGCTGACCTGAAAAGATTTTGATAGGCGGAAAGATGGGAGGACTTTCATCCACTTCTCCACCACTGGAATGCCCTCAGAACTTCTCTCTTTTGCTCTCCAAATCCTAGTAAGTTCAAAGCCGGCCTCCTCCATGAAGCTTCCCTTGATACCTCCGGTCCACCTTAATCTTTTTTCCTTTTTCTGAAGGAAAAGCCCATATCTCTAGTTCTCCTCAAGGTAGCACTCAGATCTTACTGCCTTGCATTGTCCCCTAATTATCAATCTGACCTTCTCTCTAAACAATGCATTTCTTTTATTTATTATTTTGTTGAAGTATAGTTGATTTACAGTGTTGTGTTAATTTCTGCTGTATAGTGAAGTGATTCAGTTATATGTATATACATTCTTTTTCATAATTCTTTTCCATTATAGTTTATCACAGGATATTGAATAGTTTCTTGTGCTATACAGTAGGATCTTGTTGTTTATCCACGCTATATATACTAGTTTGCATATGTTAATCCCAAACTCCCACTCCATCCCTCCCCCACCTGCCCCTCCCCCTTGGCAACCACAAGTCTGCTCTCTATGTCTGTAAGTCTGTTTCTGTTTTGTAGATAAGTTCATCTTCATCATATTTTAGATTCCACATATAAGTGACATCATATGGTATTTGTCTTTCTCTTTCTGACTTACTTTACTTTGTATGATAATCTCTAGTTCCATTCATGTTGCTGCAAATGGCATTATTTCATTCTTTTCTATGGCTGAGTAGTATTCCATTGTATATATGTACCACATCTTCTTTATCCATTCATCTGTCGATGGACATTTAGGCTGTTTCCATGCCTTGGCTATTGTATATAGTGCTGCTTTAACATAGGGGTACATGTCTCTTTTTGAATTATAGTTTTATGTGGATATATGCTCAGGAGTGGGATTGCTGGATCATATGGCAACTCTATTTTTAGATTTTTTGAGGAAACTCCATACTGTTTTCCATAGGGGCTGCATCAAATTACATTCCCACCAAGAGTGCAGGAGAGTTCCGTTTTCTTCACATCCTCTCCGGTATTTGTTATTTGTAGGTTTTTTAATGATGGCCATTCTGACCCATGTGAGGTGGTACTTCACTGTAGTTTTGATTTGCATTTCTCTAAGAATTCGCAATGTTAAGCATCTTTTTATGTGCCTGTTGGCCATTTGTATGTCTTCTTTGGAGAAATGTCTATTTAGGTCTTCTGCCCATTTTTTGATTGGGTTGTTTGGTTTGTGTTGTTGTTGAGTTGTGTGAGCTGTTTGTATATTTTGGAAATTAAGCCCTTGTCAGTTGCATCATTTGCAAATATTTTCTCCCAGTCCACAGACTGTCTTTTCATTTTGTTTATGGTTTCCTTTGCTGTACAGAAGCTTGTAAGTTTGATTAGGTCTATTTTTGCTTTTATTTCTATTGCCTTGGGAGACTGACCTAAGAAAACATTGGTACGATTTATGTCAGAGAATGTTTTGCCTATTAAACAAGGAGCTTCTTGAAGTCACTTCCAGGTCCTGTGTTTCCGATTCTTGCTCAGTTCAGTGATGGGTTTACAGAGGGTAGCCCATAAATACTTATTAATAAAGTGACTGATGAAAGAACCAGAGAGTTTAATTGTTTAGGAACCAATTATTCAGGCTGCTCCCTAATGGTAGGGAGGTTTGGGGTTATCGGGGATTACTTATATGTTATCATTTTTTCATCCGTTTTCAAAGAGTTTAAGGAAACACTCAGAGCTCCTGAGAGCACTTATTTCTCATCTGTGCAAATGATTGGATTAGACCATAGGCAAAATAAAGGCCTTTCCCAGGTATCCCAAGCTCTTTTTGTGACAAGGATCCTCTGGGAGGGGATGGTGGAGGAGGGAGGGCAGGGCAGGAAGTGGGGCTGGAGATCCACCTCTATTTTTGTCTCCCTCTGCCCCTTAGCCACCACACCTTGCTACATTGTTTGTTCTTCCATTCCCCCTCACAGGCCCCTGCACCTTTATGTCTTAAAGGACTGCTTCAGAGATGAGGATTTGGAAACATGTGTTTAGCACTTGTAAACTCCTCCAAGGCTTTGCAGAGTCAACAGGAGGCATTTTGATTATAGCTATTGGTTCTCAGCACACAGCAAGTTGGCAGAAAATAGAGGTTAGACCCTGTCTCTTCTTGCTGCTCGAGAGGAGTCTACACAGCCAGGGCCTGGCTAAGATTGCAGGCCTGAACCAGGGAACACAGCCCTGAACCCTGGGGCTTTGGGACAGTGTGACACCTGGGTGAGAGGCCTCCTCTACACTGAACAATGAACACGGGAGGCTCCAGAACGTGATGCTGACTGAGGCAGAGGCCCACAGAGCCTACAGCTGTCTGATTTATTTCTGAGGCAGCGTTTCCACAGGACTCGGGAATGATTTAGTCTCTGATCCTTAGGTGGTTTCCTTTTACATCATTTCTGCCTCTTTTGATTGTTGGCACATTTGGGGAGTTCTAGGGTCCTCAACCTTACAGGTGTGTAATTTTAATAAAACACAATTCATTAAAATCTGAGCTTACAAAATTGGTAAATTATGGGAATGGATTATTTTTTCTACCACCAAAGGGTCTTGTGATCAGAGTCCCTTTTATTAATCCATAATTCTCTTATTATATGTAACACTACATTTGTGGGTTTCTTTTTCCTGATTTCAGAAGTAATCTGTGTTTCTAGCTAAAGTACACCTTGGTGATTAAAACCATGTTCTTTCATTTCAACAAGACCTAGATTTGAGACTAGGCTCTGCCACTTACTTCCTATGTGTTTGGATAAGTTTCTTATTGGCTCACAAATACAACATTAAAATTTTTGCACGTATTAAATGAGATAGCATACCTCAGGCGCTCAGGGCATAATAAGTGTTCGATATATTAGTGAGCACTTCTTAGTCTTTTTGTTATTAGAATATTTGTACATAAAGGTTGGTTTACCCACATCTTATTTAAATGCAGCTTTTTCGAGACTTCCCTGGTGGTCCAGTGGGTAAGAATCCATGCTCCCAATGCAGGGGGCCGGGGTTCAATTCCTGATCGGGGAACTAGATCCCGCACGCATGCCGCAACTAAGAGTTCGCATGCTGCAACTAAGAAGTCCGCAGGCTGCAACTAAAAAAAAAAGATCCCCACACTGCAATGAAAGATCCCATATGCTGCAATGAAGATCCCGCATGCCACAACTAAGACCCAGCACAGCCTAAATAAATAAATATTAAAAAAATAAATAAATGCAGCTTTTTCTGTTTCATTTAACTGTGAGATCTACCTTTATTGCTGTGACATATCTCCTTAACCATTCTGCTCATTGCCCCTCCTGCCCAGTGGTTTTGGTCCTCTGGCTCTGGGAGTCCCCCAAGTGCCAGAGTCCTCCTTTGACCCACCCATCACAGAATGGAGTAGAACATGGCTTCTCCCAAATCATACTGGCTAGAGACTGAGAGTGTGAAGTTAGATGGGGCTTCTCTCTAAAATAATGCTTCTCACTGTGAGGCCCATGGACCTCTCTATCAGAATCACCTAGGAATGTTTATTAATTGCAATCCCTAGGGTCTTGTGCCAGGGCTTTCGGCTTTCGAAGTAGAATCTTTTGTGGGCTTCTGGGGTAGAACTCTGCATTTGTATTAATAATAAGCACCCAGGCTATTCTGATGCTAAATAAATAAAATTCTAGAACTGCTCCAGTGCAGTTTTCAAGCTTGCCCAATTCTAGTGGGGGGTACTTAATAGAAGTAGAGCTTCCTGAGCCCCACCCCAGCGTTTCCAATGGAGGAGCCTGAGGATGTATATATATGTTTTATATTTATTTATTTATTTAGCTGCATCAGGTCTTAGTTGTGGCACTAGGGGTCTTCGTTGTGGCATGCAGGATCTTTTGTTGCGGCGCACAGGCTTCTCTCTAGTTGTGGCATGCGGGCTCTAGGGCACACGGGCTCTAGGGCGCATGGGCTTAGTTGCCCATGGCACATGGGATCTTAGTTCCCAGACCAGGGAGCGAACCCGTGACCTCTGCATTGGAAGGTGGATTCTTAACCACTGGACCACCAGGCAAGTCCCAGGATGTGTATTTTTAATAAGTAGCCCCAGATGACTGTCCGGCTGGCAAGTATAGGAATGCTGCTGTAGAATGACTGGCCAGTGACGTGATTGCTGGTGGTGGTGGTGGCGACAGTAATGGGGTTGGGTGGTGATTAGGGAGGTTTGAATGATCCAGAGAGTGACTTGGGTCAAGGGCCCATCTTTAGCTCTCTAACATCCCCTTCAGGTATGAGAGTCTGTGTCCAACCATTCCCATGGTGTTTGAGAAAGCAAAGCCAAGCCAGTCTGGAGAGAGTGAATAGTGCAAAAGTGAACAGTGAAGCTCTCGGGCAGACACCAGTAATGCCAGATGAACTGCCATGGGACCCTCGGTAAAGGAAAGAGCAGCTGCTTATCGGAACAGCCGTTCCTGGTGTTCTCTTGTAGCCTGGCTGAAGCTCCTACCAATATCTTTCCCACAAATTGCCTCCGTGCTTTAAGGCTGTCTGGGTAGGTTGGTAACCCAAGTGGCCTTAGTCAAAACAATGCCCTGCCGCCAGGTGCCGGCCATTTAGTGACCCGTGACTAAGCTGCACCTCCCTACGCTCCTCTGGGCCTCTGGGCCAGACTCTGCGGTCAGATTCATTCTCTCAGAGCCTATTCTGCCTTCTTAAGGGGCTCATGCTGGGTCAGAGCTTCTCCTCAGCAACCCCAGTCTAGTGATGACAGACTGACATGCTTTGTGCACAAGTCTTATCTGTGGCAAGTAAAACAGTAATGCTTCAATCTCATATTTTATTGACAGACATGGCTACTGGGTTGAAAAATCTAGTTGTTGTAAAGATGTTCTCTTGGGCTACTCATCCCCTCTCCATGGTGGTCTCCTTCCTCCCAGCAAAGCTGGACAATACTTTTCTCAGTCTGCTGCCTACCCAGTGATGGGAAGGCAACCTACAATCAGATCAGGGTCTGCCCTCTCTCTGTCTTCATGGCCACATGGGTTCTGTACTTTTGTCCCCAACAACTTTGGGTGTGGGCCCAGCCCTTCGTGACAATACTGCTTTTTCCTTTCTCTTCTTGGAGTATCAGCTGTGACCTCAGAGGGTGGTAGGGCTTTGCAATGAGGACGACTCTGATACCATGTCATCTAGTTTGTTTCATGACATTCCAGCCAGCAAACATTTAATGATGAGGGCTTCTTCCTGGCGAGATATTATAGTAGGCTCAGAGGGGCATCCAAGATAAATAGGATAAAGTACAAGCCAGAAAGAAATTCAGATGAAGAGAGCAGTGACATTCCAGTGGATGACACATGCAAGAGTCAACCATGCTATGAAAATATTAGAGTCAGGATATTAAGGAGAGAAATAATGTGGAAATTTTTTCATTGTGATGTATGTATTTATATCTTTATCTACAGAAAGCTGAAATGTCAGGAAAAAGCAATGATAATGTGCATTGTATTTAAGTGCTGTGTTGTCAGCTCATCTAAGCCAATTTAGTCATTCACAACTGTTGGGTTCTTTTGGCAAATAATGGTGGCCTCCAATGCTAAAGGTAGAGGAAGTGTCTAGGTCTCATTCCCAAGAAACTTGCTACCAAGTGGTCCATTACAAAGAAAACAAATCCTGCAACGCACACCCAAACATTTATCAACACACAGACACAAGGAGTCGTACAATGTGCTCTTATTGGCTCCCTGCCTTGGTTCCTCTGCTAGGCCCCCTGTAGGACAATTTCACTAGTGGCAGATACAGAAATATTATCTTGGGGGGATCAGCTAGCCATCGAGTCAGAATCCGACAGTAACTCCTCTGGTTAGAGATGGGACACAGGACCAAATGGGACTTCTAGGCTGGGGCATCACACTGAGAGGTATTAGGATGCTGAGTGGGACAGATTCATGCACAGGTGGAGATGTCTGTACCTTGCTAGTCACAATTGGACACTACTCAAATTGTCTTTGAAAATTATTTCTAACTCCGCTAAATGCTACTGAATAACCCCTTCGCTGCTGATGGAGATAGAGATAATGGAAGCACTCAAAGTACTCTGGAGTGTGGACTCCTCAGTGTGACTTTTAAAATCTAACTAAGCACATCTGGACAGTTAATTCCAGGTTAGGATGTTAATCACCTACCCCTAGCATGTAGAGTAAAACCAACACACACACACACACACACACACACATTTATATCACAGTACTAAGCTAAAGTATTTTCAAGTAAATTTTAGACATCATCCAAGTGGACAATGTAACAAATCTTCAATTGAGTTATCATAATAATCTCAACAAGAAGATTAAATGAGAATGACTAAATTCACACTTAGTGAAAAATAAATACAGCTAATTACTAATTAATTTGAACAAGCTTATCTTAACAGACAGAAGAACAAATAATATACGCTTTATTTCTGATATTCAGCTCTAATCCCATTAAGGAAAATCACATCTGACCAAGGGAAATTACCCTGCCCTGCTTCTGTCTGGAACCTCATCCTTCGTCATCCAGGTTTGCTTATTTATTCATTGTTTTCCATCTGACAGCATTTACTGAGTCTCTGCACTATGACTGGACTGGGGTTACAAAGATGAATACAAATAGTCCCTGTCCTCCAGGAGCCCACAATCCAGTGGAGAAAGCTGACTATTAAACAGGAGCCACAAGTAGTAATTCTAAGTCACAGATTCAAGACAGCACGAATTATAACAGCCTTTTCTACGACGACATTAAATTTCTATCTTGGTCTCTCATTATGCTTATAGTGAGAAGTTTACTTCTAGCCAGTTCAGAATGATAGACAATTCGAGGTTTTCCCCTTGCCCTTCGTCCTCGGGACTACATTTAGACTCCATTGGCTCCACATCAGTGGGAGGAACACCGTTGTCTAACATGTGTGGGCATCTGCTCTGGGGTCTGGGCTCACATCTGACTTTCAGTGACCAATTCATGCAGGACACACTGTACCCTCCCACTCCCCGCTGAAAGTTCCCTTCAGAGCCACCGACTCACTCCCAGCTCCTTCGGTTCGCTTCTTGGATGTGGGAAGTGAAACTCTTAGAAGCTCTCCTCCCCTATATTTAAAATGCGTAACCAACAAGGACCTGCTGTATAGCACAGGGAACTCTGCTCAATGTTAGGTGGCAGCCTGGATGGGAGGGGAGTTTGGGGGAGAATGGATACATGTAAATGTATGGCCGAGTCGTTTTGCTGTGCATCTGAAACTATCACAACATTGTTAGTTGGCTATACTCCAATATAAAACAAAAAGTTAAAAAAGAAAAAAGAAAAAGAAGCTCTCCTCCCTTCCTGGGCCACCCTAACCCACCCTCAGAGTCACTCGCCAGTGGCTTACTCACTCTTGCTTCTGCTTCCTTTTTCTCTGGCGCCAGTCCATAAAATCTTCCAAATCAGAATGAACATTGTGCTGTAAAACATTCCTGACCTAGGCTTTTGATCTTTTAAAATATTCTCCTTTAAACAATGAACGGCCAACTTGAGTCTACTTGCGGAAACTCAAAAAGCTAATATTAACTGATTTCTTGCTCTTTGAATTTTTCACTTAGCGGCCTTACTCTGAAGCGTATTGAGTAGAGACTGCCCATCTGATCTAAATGGAAGAAAGGACAGGGGTATCAGCAGAAATAGAGGTGCAGATGTAGAGAACAAACGTATGGACACCAAGGGGGGAAAGTGGCGGGGGTGGTGGGATGAATTGGGAGGTTGGGATTGACATATATACACTAATATGTATAAAATAGATAACGAATAAGAACCTGTTGTATAAAAAATAAATAAAATTCTAAAGTTCAAAAAAAAGAGAAAATACTAGAGAAAGAAGTATAGGGTTTTTTTTTCCTAAATGCTTTCTCTCTATATTGGCAATTTCAGTAGAGTGGGCTCAGTAAAGGTTTTGACCGAGTGGACCCATAGGATGTCATGAGCACACAAGAGAGGGGCACTGAAGGCTAACTGGGAGGTTCCAGGAAGGCCTTGTGGGGGAAGAAATTAGCGAAATGGATAAGTGAGTTCAAGAGGCAGAGACAGTAGCACAACAAAGAGCTATGGCCATAACGGAGAATATGTCATATTTGGGGATCTATAGCAATTTAGCGTGGCTGGCATAAAATTTATGGTAGGATGGGAGCCTGGTAAAATATGGGATTGAACTGGTAAACTGGGCTCAGATAATGAAAAGCCATGGAAAGACACAGAAGGATTTTTTGTAAAGGAGAGTGACAATTATCAAATTTACACTGTACAGAGATCAATCTACCATTGGTGAGAATTGACTAAAAGGCAGGTAAACCAGTTAAAATGAGCTTTCAGGAAACAAGAAAGAGATTTTGAGGCCCTGATTTGATATAATGGCAAGAGAGGATGAAGAGAAAGAAGACAATGGAGACATAATTAGGAGATAGAATAGATGGGATTTAGCAATGGATTGGACATGTGTGAATAAGGAAGACGTAAGAATAATTCCCATGTTTTTAGTGGATGATGGTGTCATTCTCCACAGCAAAGAGTGTAAGGGAAAGAGCTGATGGAGGGGTGGGTGCGTGAGGTGGGAGGATGAAGAAAACACATCAGTGTCTGTGAGATATCCAAACAGAGTTGCCCCAGTAGGGTCAGGAGCTCAGGCAAGAACTCCGGGCTAAGGTGGGACCTGGGATTCTGTTCCACAGAGGAGGTGGCTGAAGTCCAGGGAGTGAATGAAGGTCAGCGAGAGAGAATATACACACCACAAAGAGAAGAGGAGTAATTCCAGATTCTTAGAGATCACCAACATTTAACAGTCGATCCCTTTCATGTTTTTTCTCTTCTGTTTTCAAGCTGGTTTGCATCAGAATGGTAATTCTCTCATTTCAAGATTTTAACGCCAACTGCAGAGAATTCTGTGTTTCTGTTTATAATTGTTTAAAGTTCTGATTTTGAGCACAGCATCTTCAACAACTATTTTCAACCACTTTGGAGATCTGTTTGGAACATAGTTTTTCTCTGTTAAACCTATTGTGTGTGGAATGTCACAGCCCCCTGATAACTGGCACTTGGGATCTCCTACACTGGTCTGCCCTGTAGTAGTGGAGGGGGCAGGAGGGTTTTCATGGCTCCCAAACCTAAAGGTAAGAAAAAAGTCTAGATTTTGTGCTGCTAAAAAGACCTCCATCTTTTTTCAAAAGTCCTCAACTCTTATACTTTCTGTGTTACAGGATGAAGGGTTCCAGGTCTGTAACAGAACATTTATTAAAGTTTTGATATCACAAAACCCCACTGATGATATTTTTATGCATAGGCATATAAGATGTTTCTGTAAAAACTGTTTTCTTAGGACAACAACAAAATCCCCAAAGTTATATAAGGTAAAAACAAAGTGATTTGATCTTGAAAGGTAAGGAAATAAAATTGCTTCGATAATTATCACTATCATGATAAAATGGTTATCATAAGACTTGAAAGTATTTTTCCATTTATCACAGCACATCTACAAGTTATTCACGGAACACCCGTGTTCCCTGGCACGCAGTATGAGAAACACTATCCTAGTGGTTTGATTGTGATGGTGCACAATACTATGCTCACCGAACGGGACCCCATTATCTTTACGTTTAAAAGGCAATTTCAGAAAAGAAGAGGGATGGCTCCAGAAAGCTGGTTAGTTCTGTCCTTCAGTCTCTACTGCCCTTGTCTTTAGCACTGTTGGGGAAAGCAGGGCTCTGGAAGTCTATAGACAGACCCTAAAAAGACTCTGCAAAATAGGAGGCAGCTGGGCAATGCTCTGGCAGCAGCTGTAGCAGTGAGAGGTGTAGGAGCAGTCATTAGACAGGCCACCCAGAGGGTAGAGCAGCCAAGCCAGTGATTGCAACCAGCTTAGTTAGCAGCAGGCGCGACCACCACATCACAGATGTGAGAGGCAGAGAAGGCTGGTGCACTGGCCTGGCCTGGCCTCATCTCCTGCTGTGCTCACACACACCAGCGGCAGCAGCCATGCTGCAGAGCTGTGTCACTCTCTCCCTCTCTGAGAACACATGAATGTGCATGATACACTGATGAAGGATATATTTTTTAAAAAGGGTAAAATCATGCTATCCTACAAATATAAAATGAATACGTGTCAAATATCGTGTTTAATTCAGTAAACGAATGAACCAATAAGACGTTACGACTGGTTTAAAGAATTCCAAGAACCATACAGAAATAGAGCATAAGGACTTCAGAAATGAATTTACTAATAAATGCAAGATGTGTCCACCCACAGGGCAATAATCAATTAATTTGCATTTCTATGGATATGAATAATTTGTGTTATTATCTGTGTTTTACAATTTACAGGGTTATAAAATAGCTCAAAGGCAAGGAAAGATGGAGAGAATCCAGATGGGTGAGCTGCTTAGACTAGTTTCTAGTTCATAGTAAGTTCAATGCAAGTTTTAGCTATCATTTATTATTACAATAGTAGTGTATTTAGAATCAGACGGGCTTGGTTTTGAATCTCATCTCAGCCACTCACTAATTGGGTGACCTTGGGCAAGGAAATTTATCTTTCTCAGCCCAGTTTTCTTATCAGTGTGCCATTATTTTGGGACTAATGAGGAATAACTAGAATAATGTTTGTAAAATACTCCATATAGGGATTAGCACAGAGTAAACATTCAATAGTGGTCATATTATTAAAATTGGCAATTTTAATAGTGCTGAAACTTCTGTTTATATAACCAGCCATTGCTGTTTTCGTTACTGGTGTAATCAGCTAAAATTCCTTTTGGATATAGTTAAAGTTGTAAATCATAAATAGATAAATAAACCAACCTCAAATATTGAGTCTGGCAAAATGGTACTCATCATTTCTGTACTTATTTCCAAAGCTAATTATTGAGTAGGTCTATGTTTTTGCTTTTCTTCTCTTTTTCTCTTTTCTAAAAATTAGGCACCCTTGTCCTTAGACGTGGAAGGGAGGTTGTCAATGCTCCTTACAAACAAAGCATACAGCACAGAAACTTTTATTAAGGATCATTTATGAAACAGATCACTCAGCATCACGAGTCATTTATTGTCATTTCAAGAAACTCATTGACTCAGAAAATCGTAAGACTGACAGGAAGCTTCAAGATTACCAATCCATCCATCTCTTTGTTTTAGAGATGGGAAACTATTATTCAGAGAGGTTAAGTATATTGTCCAATGCCACACAGCTAGCCATCAGCAGAGTTGGGACCAGAAGCCAAATCTTTTGATTCCTAGGTTAATTTCCTCTGAATCTGCCTAATGAGAGCTTCATCTAGTTGGCAATAGCTAAAAACAGAAGTACTAACTTTCCTCTGCATATACTGAATTGAGAAATCAAGACCCACAGAAATGTCATGCCAGCTTCCCTACAGCACTCAGGACAGATTGGAGATGCCAGAAAAGGAGATTCCACTTGACTAGAGCTCAGCAGCCATTGTCCAGGGTGGAGTGAGCGACCCACTTGTCTGCAGCGCCTCATGATTTATTAACTGCTACTGGTACCCATAAAATATTCATCCACTCTCCTAGTCACTGCTCCACTGCATCAATAAACCATTGCTCCCCCCATCTGTCTAGGTGTGCAGCTTGGGGAAGAAAAGCTTCACACAAAATGGAAAAGAGTCCTCTTTTCGTGTTTAGCTCAGAGACAGAACACCAATGCACTTCTTAGTTTTGTTTTTTTTTTTCAAAGGCAAAGTCAGGGCTGTCTTCCTGGACTCCTGGACCAGGAGAAACCCCAGCACCTAGGTGAGGAAAGGCCAAAATAGCGAGAGGGAAGGGTGAAAGCCTTCATGAGGTTGGCTTGTTGGTTGTCACGCTCCCAGTTTCAGCCTGAGTTTATTTTTTCCCATATTTTCCTGAGCAGGGCACAGGGAACCACGGCTTGCCTATCAAGGATGCTTCCCTGACCTTGAATCGGGTTCAGTGTGAAGCCTTGAATACAGCCTCCACTCTGTGATCAGAAGCACTGCTCACCAGGAGCAGAAAGGGTAAACTCTCTGCCCTACTTCCCTGCTCTCACTTCTTTGGCGGCTTCTTCATGGACTTTTTTCTGCTACCCATTGTGATTGTTCCTCTTGAGCTCTCTTCTCTTCTTACTTATGTATATTCCCCATAGGTGTTTGTATCCGCAGTCATGCAGTCTCCCTCCGTAAATATCATTCGCATACCTCTAGTCCAGATCTCTCTCCAGTTGCAGATACCTGTATGTCCAACTGTACCATCTATCTCTACCAGATAACCCCTTGCTTCTCAAACTCTGTAGGTCCCCAACTGAACTTATCATCACCCTCCAATGCCCCTCTCACCTCCTCCACTCTCCAAGCCTGCTCTACCTCTAAATCTTATCTTTGAGAAAGGAATCTCCATCGTGTTACCTATACCTGGAGACCTGGGGGTCTGATCCTGATTCTCCCCTCTTTTTACCTCCATGTTTCAGTAATTACTGCTAATTTTTAATGTAAAACTTAGTGACTTAATGACACCTCACTCACATGGCTGGCAAGATGGTGCTGGTCGTCAGCAGGGAATTCACCCGGGGAATCTGAGTTCCTCTCCATTTGGGTCTCTTCCTGAGGCTCCTTGGGCTTCCTCACAGCATGGTGGCTGGGTTCCAAGAGACAAGAAGTAGAATATACAGGTCTCTTAAGGCCTGGGCCTGAAAACTGGCAGAGTGCCACTTCTACTGTATTGTATCGGTCAAACAGAGCCCACCCAGATTCAAACATAAACCCCACCTCTTAAGGGGGAGTATCAAGGAATTCAGGGCTATCTTCAATCTATTACACTCTATTCCAATCCAACTCTTGCAGTCCTCTCCCTACTTCTGTGCATTTTTACATGCTGTCCCTTCGGTCTTGAATGCTTTTCTCACCTCGTCCTATTTCCTGCTCTTTCTTCAAGATTCTGCTCAAGAGTTATAATATCTCCCCAAATCTTACTTAACCCTACTTCCTCCAGGGTGTAACATAACACACTATGTTAGCATTTGTTATTCTGTATTATAATTGTTTGTGTGTCTTTCCCATAAGACTGTGAGTGCTGTGAAGGCAGGGACTGTCTTATTCTTTTTTTGTGTCTCCAGAACCAATCATGGAGCTGGGCAGAGTAAAGGACCTCAGCAAACATTTGTTGAATGGGTAAATGTTTCCTTATTTTAACCTCTCAATGGTCCTGTAAGGTGGCAGAAATTGAGTATTATTCCTGTGTAACTGCCTGACTTCCTTATCTTAGATAAAAGAAAGAAACAATCATGACAAAGAATAATGACATAACCCAAGGTCACACAGCCTTGGAAGATAATTCAGTATAGTCAATAAGAGTTCAGTTCCCCAAAGTAAGTTGAAATCATAGACCCAGAGACAAGGTCGGGAAGGCAAAGAAAGAGCCCCACCGTGAATGGACTCAGTTGTCTAGCAGAAAATGCCCCTGAGGCTTCCCACTCTATTCTGTGTTTACTAGGGGATGCAAAAGACCTCTGTCCTCTGCCAGGAAACTGAAAATGCCAAAAGAGATGGAAGATAATCTCAGAATCTGTTAAAAAATAAAGAGAGAGAGAGAGTGGACACCGTGCAGTGCTTTGTGCAAATAGGAAAGGTAGATTTAATGTAGATTCTCAAAATGACAGTGGGAGAGTGAGAGTTTGCTAGTAATTCTCAAGTGACTCTTCAGAGCAGAGAGACACAGCTATTATCAGAAAGAGAGGCTGTGTCTAGAGGCCCAGGTGTCAGGGTCAATTGGATAATTCACTGGAGTTAAAACCTCAGCTAAGATAAAACATCCCTCAAGGACATCTGATTTTCTGTGCTCTGATTTCATGCTTAACACGTCCTTTCTGTTCACTAATTTGGTTTCTTACCTGTTCTTTTATTAGGAAAATATCCTGTAAGGTGTCAGACATTGAGTATTATTCCTGTCTTACTGACAGTCACTAGAAAGAAACCTTCTTTCTTGTAAATTCACACGTTGGTATTGCAACTTGTAAGCCAGTTTCTTAGAAAAAATTCCCTGTATACAATGGATTTTTTTTTAAATAGCACAACTAATTTATATATACGTTCTCATTATAAGAGATTCAAACAATTGAAATAAATATACATGAAAGCCCCTTTCACCACGAGGCCCCCATCCCACTTCCAGTCTCAGAGATAATCATTGTTACGAGTCTAATATGCAGCCTTCAGTCCCTTTTCTATGCATTTATAGAGAGATATGTGCAGATTTATGTGTCCCTTTTGATTTTTATACAAATTAGATCATACTATACATTTCCCTATTTCCCGTGACTCTATCCCATGAGGATCCTTCTACATTGGTCCACAGAGCTCTGTCTTCTTGTTTCTTAGGGCTGCACTTTTTCTGGAGGAGGTATTAGTCAGTGTCCTCCAGAGAAACAGAACCAATAGGATGTATATATTAGAGAGACAGAAAGAGAGAGAGAGATTTATTACAAGAAATTAGTTCATGTGATCGTGAAGTCTAGCAAGTCCCGAGATGTTCAGGGTGAGTCGCAGCTGGAGGCCCAGGAGAGTCAATGCTTTAGTTCCAGTCTGAAGGCCTACGGGCTCAAGATCCAGGAAAAGCTGATGTTTCAGTTTGAGTCCAGAGGAAGGAAAAAACCGAT